CTACTCAATTTGGAGACGGGACAGAAAAATTAGGAAAGGCGGTGGCGTTGCTGTGCTGGTAAAAGAACACCTAAAGGTGAAGGAAATAATGACTGCCAATCCACAAGAAGTTGACATAATAGCACTAGAGATCTGCTATGAGGATGATAAACTAATGATGATAAATGCATATAGTCCACCGCCAAGCAGCACATGGTCAAAGGAGGAGCTAGATAGTAAACGTGAAGGTCTTATAACAATAATGAGAGAGATTATAGCGAGAGCGGATAACGATAGATCACGACTGTTGATAGTCGGTGACTTCAACTTGAAATCCATAGACTGGGAAGCATATGAAGCTAAAACAGAAGATTTTTGGACCTGTAAATTTGTAGACCTCATCCTGGAAACATTCTTGTATCAACATGTTAAACAAGCTACGAGGATGAGGGAAGGGGACGTTCCCTCCATGCTAGATTTGATATTTACCAGGAAGGAGGAAGAGATATTTGACATTCAGTACCTTCCTCCCTTGGGTAAAAGTGACCATGTCTTTTTGGGAATAAAGTATGCAATGCGTTATAAGCTGGAAGAAAATAAGGAGGTTGAAGCAGTTGAAAAACCAGACTTCAGGAGAGGACATTATGGTGACCTTAGAAATTTTTTTAGTGAGTATAATTGGACAGACTTGATGCTAGGCAAGGAAGTGAATGAGATGTATGGCAAGTTTTGTGAAATATATGATAAAGGCACAAAAAAATTTATACCAAAACAGAGATGCAGAACTAGGAAACAGGATTGGTTCAATAGAAATTGCGAGAGGGCTAGAGACCGAAAGACACAAAAATGGAATCAATACAGGAAGAGGCCGAACCCCCAAACATACCAGCGATACAAAGATGCGAGAAACAACTACACGGCAGTGAGGAGAGAGGCAGAAAGAAATTTTGAAAAAGGGATTGCGGACAAATGTAAAACAGAACCAGGTCTATTCTATAAATTCATAAACAACAAATTGCAGGTAAAGGATAATATTCAGAGGTTGAAAATGGGAAATAGATTCACGGAAGATGAAAAGGAAATGTGTGAAACACTAAACGAAAAGTTCCAAAGTGTGTTTGTACAAAATGAAATCTTTAGGGAACCAGATACAATAAGAATTCCAGAGAACAACATAGAACACATAGAGGTGTCTAGAGACGAAGTAGAAAAAATGCTCAAGGAGCTCGGTAAGAACAAAGCAGCTGGCCCAGATGGCGTTTCACCATGGGTTCTGAGAGAATGTGCATCTGAGCTCAGCATTCCACTTCACCTGATCTTTCAGGCATCCCTGTGTACAGGAATCGTAGCAGATGGGTGGAAACAGGCTAACATAGTTCCAATCTACAAAAGTGGCAGCAGGGAAGACCCCCTCAATTATAGACCTGTATCATTGACAAGTGTAATAGTGAAAGTATTGGAAAAACTAATCAAAACTAAATGGGTAGAACACCTAGAGATAAATGATATAATATCAGACAGACAGTATGGTTTTCGATCTGGAAGATCCTGTGTATCGAATTTACTCAGTTTCTATGATCGAGCCACAGAGATATTACAGGAAAGAGATGGTTGGGTTGACTGCATCTATCTGGACCTAAAAAAGGCTTTCGACAGAGTTCCACATAAGAGGTTGTTCTGGAAACTGGAAAATATTGGAGGGGTGACAGGTAAGCTTCTATCATGGATGAAAAATTTTCTGACTGATAGAAAAATGAGGGCAGTAATCAGAGGCAATGGGATGGGGCCTCGTAGCCTGGTGGATATCGCGCAGGACTCGTAATTCTGTGGCGCGGGTTCGATTCCCGCACGAGGCAGAAACAAATGGGCAAAGTTTCTTTCACCCTGAATGCCCCTGTTACCTAGCAGTAAATAGGTACCTGGGAGTTAGTCAGCTGTCACGGGCTGCTTCCTGGGGGTGGAGGCCTGGTCGAGGACCGGGCCGCGGGGACACTAAAAAGCCCCGAAATCATCTCAAGATAACCTCAAGATAACCAATGTATCAGAATGGAGAAATGTCACAAGTGGAGTACCACAGGGTTCAGTTCTTGCACCAGTGATGTTTATTGTGTACATAAATGATCTACCAGTTGGTATACAGAATTATATGAACATGTTTGCTGATGATGCTAAGATAATAGGAAGGATAAGAAATTTAGATGACTGTCATGCCCTTCAAAAAGACCTGGACAAAATAAGTATATGGAGCACCACTTGGCAAATGGAATTTAATGTTAATAAATGTCATGTTATGGAATGTGGAATAGGAGAACATAGACCCCACACAACCTATATATTATGTGAGAAATCTTTAAAGAATTCTGATAAAGAAAGAGATCTAGGAGTGGTTCTAGATAGAAAACTATCACCTGAGGACCACATAAAGAATATTGTGCAAGGAGCCTATGCTATGCTTTCTAACTTCAGAATTGCATTTAAATACATGGATGGCGATATACTAAAGAAATTGTTCATGACTTTTGTTAGGCCAAAGCTAGAATATGCAGCTGTTGTGTGGTGCCCATATCTTAAGAAGCACATTAACAAACTGGAAAAGGTGCAAAAGACATGCTACTAAGTGGCTCCCAGAACTGAAGGGCAAGAGCTACGAGGAGAGGTTAGAAGCATTAAATATGCCAAAACTAGAAGACAGAAGAAAAAGAGGTGATATGATCACTACATACAAAATAGCAACAAGAATTGATAAAATCGACAGGGAAGACTTCCTGAGACCTGGAATTTCAAGAACAAGAGGTCATAGATTTAAACTAGCTAAACACAGATGCCGAAGAAATATAAGAAAATTCACCTTCGCAAATAGAGTGGTAGACGGTTGGAACAAGTTAAGTGAGAAGGTGGTGGAGGCCAAGACCGTCAGTAGTTTCAAAGCGTTATATGACAAAGAGTGCTGGGAAGACGGGACACCATGTGCGTAGCTCTCATCCTGTAACTACACTTAGGTAATTACTTAGGTAATTACAGTACATCGAATATGTACAGTACTGTATTATGCAATTAACACTGTATTGATTATGTAGCTCTGCTGTATGTTGAGTACTACAATACAGTTTATGAAAACTATTGTACACTAAAAGTACTGAAACTTTAATTTTAACACTTGTTCTAACTGTACACTCCACACATGATGTTCTAGATGTTTGCACCAGCTTTTGTGTGGGTTTCAGCTACTTAACCTCTGCACTGTGCACATGTTTTTGGCAAAAACTTCATAGTGCAATTGTTAAGGATATATTTTTGTTATTTTTAAAAATGATCAGGTAAGGTTAATGTCAAAATGTTTCCACACTCAACTATTTCCATTTCAAAACACAAAGAGTGATGAAAATATTAAAAAAAAAACATTAAAATATAGCCTAATTAAAAAAAAACACAACTCTCAGAACAACTTTTGTTGGCTGGTGCAATTAAGAGGTTAATGATTCTCCGGCAATTTTCCTGTTCTTAAAATTATACCTATTCTTAAATCTTTCCAACTATTCTTCACAAGCACTAAAAATTGGAATGTTCATCTTTGAACATCAATCGCATCATCATGGATGGATTGGTGACTGACTGGCGGACAGGCTTTGGCAGATGGGGAGATATTTGGAAGAGCAGTGTGGGGTGGGCAGCTATTCATGTGCGGTGGGTGGATGGCTGGCTATTTGGGCGCAATGGCTGGATTTGGGCAGTCAAATGAGCAGCTATTTGGGCGGGCAGTGTGGATAGGTGACTATTTTGGGTGGGCGATGTTGGTGGGCAGCTATTCGAGCGGGGTAGGTGGATTTGGGTAAGTGGAAGGGTGGGCAGCTATTCGGGCAGGGTGGGTGGATTTGGGCAGGCAGATGGGCACCTATTTGGGCAGGCAGATGAGCAGCTATTTGGGTGAGCAGTGTGGGTGGGCGGCTTTGGGTAAATGGCTATTCAGGCGGGGAGGGTGGATTGGCGGCTATCTGGGCGGGCAGTATGGATGGGCGGCTATTTGGGTGGGCAGTATGGATGGGCGGCTATTTGGGTGAGCGGTGTGGGTGTGCGGCTATTCGGGCGGCGTGGGTGGATTTGGGCGGGCAGCTATTTGCGCAGGGTGGGTGGATTTGAGCAGGTGGATGGGCAGTGTGGGTGGGTTTGGGCAGGCATATGGGTGGCTATTTGGGCAGAGCAGGTGGATTTGGGTGGACGGTGTGAGTGAGTGGGGTGGGTAGATTTGGGCAGGCAGTGTGGGTGGGTGGCTATTTGGGCAGGGTGGGTGGATTTGGGCAAGCGGATGGGTGGCTATTTGGGCAGGGTGGGTGGATTTGGGCAAGCGGATGGGTTGCTATTTGGGCTGGCAGTGTGGGTGGGTGACTATTTAGGAACTAGGTTTAAACACCTTACGGTAGGCTGAAGTTTAAGCCAGATCAAGTAACAAATTTCTCTCAAATATTGGATTTATTTCATATTATATATTTTTGGGTTGTATATTTAGTTTAGCGACATTAATAAGATAATAAGTGTTATAAAAATACTTTAGAAAGGATTTATTAATTTTATTATTTCAAGGCCGTAGGTTACTGAACTGTAGCGACGAATTCAAATGAAAAGCACATGGTGCTGTGTCGAGAGGACTAGGCCGCGTTGTTTTGAAAACTAGTGCCAATAACATATTTCTCAAATAGCAGATGCTTATTATATTACAGTATATTTTTTGTTTTAGTTAGTTTATTAATATAATTAGGATAATAAAGAGCTATTAAAGAGAATACACAAATCATTGAAAACAGTAGGTAGTGCTGGGCTATGCTTAGGTTCATCAAATTTCAAAGATCTCCAATTAATTTAGCAGCACAAATACAGACCAAATAGTGAAACTGTAATTCCTTTACCACATTTACAATAATGTACTACTGAAGTAATTTGATAACAGCTGATTAACAAATAAATTATTTCAAAGATTATTGGAAACAAGTTTATAAATATTATTAAAGTGTTATTTTACCATATAGGACTTGTGCCACCGGATCAGCATTCCTCTATATGACATCCTGGAATTAAACTCGACCCAAATGACTGTCCGTGTGGAGCCCATGGTGAGCGTGGGTCAGGCGACATCCTACCTAGTTCCCCGAGGATACACACTGGCTGTGTGTCTGGAGGTTGCAGAAGCAACATTAGGGGGCCTGGCCATGGGTGTAGGGATGACCACATATTCACACAAAGTAAGTATTAATAGGTTGCTTTCAACAATTGCAACTTATCTTATTTTTAAAAGCAAATGGCTGACTAATGCTCAAAAGGTAATGAAAACCAGCTAATATAGTCATTCCTTTCAGTTGTGTCTTTATTTTTTATAGAATAGCTCGTTTGGTTGAAGAAACAATGTTGAGTGTATTGAAATGCAAATATCTGGAGGAGCCCTGGTGGTTCCCTGAAATTATCTTCCACAAGAGTGCTTCACAAAGACATCGTTGCTCTGGAGAAGGTGCAACACCGGGCAACAAAAATCATCCCAGAGCTTAGTCATCTCTCGTATCAGGAACATTTGAGGAAATGTTCATGCTCCCCCCACAACTGCTCGACCAACTAGCGAGTCCCCCAGTGCTGATCCAACATCAGATGGTGATGAAGCTGCGGCAGCGAAGGAGACACCGATCATGATCAACAAAATCAATAAATGTGTAATTCTTGAAAATTTATGTAACCTAATTTCCAGTTATCTGGATTTGGTAGTTTTGCCAGGAAATTATCCGGACTTGATTTAAACTCTATTCCTGTCTGTGGTATCCAGCCAAACCTCCGGTTATCTGGATTACTATCCAAATATTGTGAAATTTTGCCAAAAATTATCCAGATGCGACTTTGGCCATATAACCCAAATATCTGGTTTAGTGGAATCAAGATAAATGAGCTCATACAGTACAATATTTTCTTCATATTTTGAATGTTTTGCCATGGATTTTTCAAGTGCAATGTTGAATTGGGCTGTCAGTAATATTAATTGTATCATAGAATGTATAGAATATTGGTATACACATATATATAGTCTTTTCACTAATATAATTTAAATATTATATTCTTTGAACAATAAAACATGCTGTTTTTGCTGTTATTACACTATATAAACACATTATACAGTATGTAACTATCTACATTTTTGTACACCATAATGAACCACTAAGCTGGTTTGGTGAATTCAAGCAGCATAACGCCAGCACATATAGAATCTGGATTCTATACGAGAAAGACAAGAACTGTCCCTTTAGGGTGACGTTTAATGGAGTGAAAAACATGATGGAAATGCTTAGAAATGCCAGGAAATTGCATAGTGATGAGGTTGGCAAACTTTGGTCAATAAGACAAGACCTCTCAAAGGAAGACAGAGAAAAGCTGAAAATGAACCTCATTGAAGCAAAACGTCTAAATGGGGATAGAAATAAAGAAGATGGAAATTATTTTTTCTACAAAGTGTCAAGGACTGGAAAGGTTGTGAAATGGTACATAAAAAAGGCAACAAAATCATTAGTGGAAGGGGGAGTAAAGAGCAAAGGGAAAGGGAACATGCTCCTGAAAGTTGTATATACCAACATAGATGGAGTGAGGTCAAAAACTTTGGTGTTGCAAGATATAATTCAGCTCAAGGTCCCAGATATAGTCTCATTATCAGAGACGAAACATGAAGGAAATATATTAAATGAAGTCGTATTCCCAAGGGGCTATTCAGTTTGGAGACGTGACAAGAAAACTAGGAAAGGAGGAGGAGTGGCTGTGCTGGTGAAAGAACACCTGAAGATAGTTAATATTTGAAAACCCTCGAGATATTGACATAATGGCATTGCAGGTCTGGAATCAGGATGATAAGCTAATAATTTTAAATACCTACAGCCCACCAGCAAGCAACACACGGACAAAGGAAGAACTGGATGACAAACGAGAGGGGCCTCATAATGGTCATGAGAGATATTATTGTACAAGCAGATAAAGATAAATCACGACTGTTGATACTGGGGGGCTTCAACTTTAAAGCAATAGACTGGGAGGCCTATGAAGGTAGAACAGAGGACTTTTGGACATGCAGATTTGTGAACCTCATTCTGGAGACATTCTTGTATCAACACATCAAGCAGGCCACAAAAATGAGGAAAGGAGATGTATCGTCAGTATTGGATCTAGTATTCACCAGGAAAGAAGAGGAGATATTTAACATCCAGTACCTTCCTTCCTTGGAAAAGAGTGATCATGTCCTATTAGACACTAAATATGCTTTAAGATACCATCTAGAAGAAAATGGGGACATTGAAACAGTTAATAAACTCGATTTCAAGAGAGGTCACTATGAGGAACTTCGAAAAAAATTTAATGAGTGTAATTGGACAGACTTGTTGCTAGGCAGGGAAGTAAAGGAAATGTATGCCAAATTTTGCAATATATACGATGAAGGCACTCAAACATTTATATCAAAACAGAAATACAGGGCCAGAAAACAGGATTGGTTCAAGAGAAATTGCGAGAGGGCCAGAGACCCAAAGACACAAAAATGGAATCGATATAGGAAGAGGCCAAACCCCCAAACATACCAGCGATATAAAGATGCGAGAAACAACTATACGGCAGTAAGGAGAGAGGCAGAAAGAAATTTTGAAAAAGGTACAGCGGATAAATGTAAAACAGAACCGGCCTATTCTACAAATTCATAAACAACAAATTGCAGGTAAAGGATAATATCAGAGGTTGAAAATGGGAAACAGATTCACGGAAAATGAAAAGGAAATGTGTGAAACATTAAACGAAAGTTCCAAAGTGTGTTTGTACAAAATGAAATATTCAGAGAATCAGACACAATAAGAATTCCAGAGAACAACATAGTGTATAGAGGTGTCTAGAGATGAATTGGAAAATATGCTAAAGGAGCTAAGTAAGAACAAGCAGTTGGCCCAGATGGAGTTTCACCATAGGTTCTGAGAAAATGTGCATCTAAGCTCAGCATTCCACTTCACCTGATCTTTCAGGCATCCCTGTGTACAGGAGTCGTAGCAGACGTGTTGAAAAAGACTAACATAGTTCCAATCTACAAAGGTGGCAGCATGGAAAACCCCCCCGTCAATTATAGAACTGTATCATTGACAAAGGTAATAGTGAAAGTAATATAAAAAATAATAAAAACTAAATGGGTAGAACACCTGGAGAGAAATGATATAATATCAGACAGACAGTATGGTTTTCGATCTGGATGATCCTGTGTATCGAATTTACTCAGTTTCTATGATCGAGTCACAGAGATTTTAGGCTTTAACAGAGTTCCACATAAGAGGTTGTTTTGCAAACTGGAACATATTGGAGGGGTGACAGGTAAGCTTCTAACATGGATGAAAAATTTTCTAACTGATTGAAAAATGAGAGCAGTAATCAGATGCAATGTATTGGACTGGAGAAATGTCACAAGTGGAGTACCACAGGGTTAAGTTCTTGCACCGGTGATGTACATTGTCTACATAAATGATCTGCCAGATGGAATTCAGAATTATATGAACATGTTTGCTGATGAAAAGAAAAAGGGGCAAAGACATGCTACTAAGTGGCTCCCAGAACTGAAGGGCAAGAGCTTCGAGGAGAGGTTAGAGGCATTAAATATGCCAAAACTAGAAGATAGAAGAAAAAGAGGTGATATGATCGCTATGTACAAAATAGTAACAGGAATTGATAAAATTGATTGGGAAGATTTTGTGAAACCTGGAACTTTAAGAACAAGAGGTCATAGATTTAAACTAACTAAACTAAGATGCCAAAGAAATATAAGAAAATTCACTTTCGCAAACAGAGTGGTAGATGGAACAAGTTAGGTGAGAAGGTGGTGGAGGCCAAAACCGTCAGTAGTTTCAAAACGTTATATGACACTCAATCAGCAGATATCGGAGCCAACGAGAAATGAAAATATTCTAGATCTGGTCTTTACGAACAATGAAGACATTATCAGAGACATTACAATATCAGATACCACATACTCAGATCACAAACTCATTGAAGTGCAAACGACCATCAATACTCAGAATAGACCTAAAACGTTGATAAAGCGAGAGGGGCTATTCAGTAAATTCAATTTTAATAATAAAAGGATAGACTGGGAGATAATAAACAGGGAACTTACAAACATTCCATGGGGAACTGTTCTAAATAATACAAGTCCTACAGAAGGAATAGAAAAACTGACTTCAGAAGCGTATCAAGTCTGTCTGAAACATATTCCTTTGAGGTTAGCCAGAAAGAGATCTAACGTAGAAAGAGAACGCAGACGACACTATAAACGCAGGAAAAAAATAACGGAACTACTTATGCAGACACGAATTTCCCGTCAAAGAAGGAATAATTTAAATAGGGAGATTGAAGAAATCGAGCGGAAATTGAAACACTCATATGAAACTGAAGAAAGGCAGTTAGAACAGAAAGCAATTCAGGAAATAAAGAAAAATCCAAAATATTTCTTCTCATATGCAAAATCAAAAGCAAAAACCACTGCCAGTATTGGACCTATTCGTACAAGTGAAGGTTCATACACGGAGGATGACAAAGAAATTAGTGAAATCCTAAAAAAGCAGTATGAGGACATGTTTAGCACTCCAATAAACAACATGAAGGTGGAAGATCCAGACAATTTCTTTATGTGGGATATTCAAACCCCTGTAAATATAACTGATATAAACACGAGCGCACTAAATTTTGAAAAAGAAATTGAAAACATGCCCATGCACTCGGCCCCAGGTCCAGACTCATGGAATTCAATATTTATAAAGAAATGAAAAGTGCCGGTAGCACAGGCACTCAGTATAGTGTGGAGGAAGAGCTTGGACACGGGGGAGATACCAGATGCACTTAACACTTTCCTGGATTTTCCACTTGGAATTACGGGCGTTTTGCTTAACCGCTTGTCGGATCACGACGTAAATTTACGGACCGTGTTTTATATTGGGTATTTACTACTCGATCGACTTGGGGTTTGTATGAATATGTTTGCCAATAAATTTTTGTTTTCTCTAATAGGCACAGTGCCTATTTGAGAAAACGGCAATGTATTGTAACTTATAGGAGAGACTATTGAGTTGGTGACACAACGAGGGTAATCGCCCACTTCACACACTCTTGTGTTGGCCACGATCATGATTCTACATTTATATGCATATGTCTGTGTAGAGAATTTTATTCCGAACACTATACAAAAAAAAAAAAA